GCCCGCGCGCTCCCGCCTCTGCCGTTTTGGGGGGGAATCCCCTGGGTTTGGGGCTTCGGAGGGGCTTCTTTGCTTTTGCACGAGTGTAATTTTCTAGCCGCCAGACTAGAGGGAAGCTGAAGCTTGTTTTCCCATTCGTCCAGCCCTGCCAGCGGGGGGGCAGGGCTGTCCCAGCATCTCACACAAGCACAGCCAAAAAAAAAAAAAGCCTCCTAGGAGTTATGGACTCTTAAGAGTCGTTTTGGGTGGAAAAGGCCTTTGAGATCATCAGGTCCAAGCGTTCAACTGGCACTGCCAGGTCTGGCCCTGCCCCGTGTCCCCCAGCACCACAACTACAGGGTCCCCCCAAGGGATGGGGGCTCCTGCCTCCCTGGGCAGCCTGGCCAGGGCCTGACAGCCCTTTCACTGAAGATATTCATCCTCATGCCCAAACCAAACCTCCCCTGGCAAAACCTGAGGCCATTTCCTCTTGTTCTATCACCTAAGAGTTGGGAGCAGAGAGACCAACCTTCACCTCACTGCAACCTCCTTTCAGGAACATGAAGATCTCCTCTCAGCCTCCTTTTCTCCAGACTAAACCACCCCAGATCCCTTTCACCTGCACATACCCACTTCAAATGTATCCCTTATTTTACCACAGAGTGTTTACCTACCCCAAACCTGACTCATTCCACCTACCAATTTCAAGCCATCACACCCCACGTTGATACACAGGCTGGGCCAGGAGGAGCAGGACCAGTTGCTCTTCATTACCTTCCTGCCTGTTCTATCCAAGCCCATTTTTTAACCCCTTGGAAAGTGGCTTCTGCAAGCTCTGAAAGTATTTGCAGCACCTCTGCTTGTTTGGACAGTCCAGCTGCCCACGTGGCTGCTCTGAACAAGAAGCTACAAAAAGGAGCACGACAAGAGAAGGGCAGAAATAAGTCTGTCCTCACTCAAACAATTCTAGATGCTTCCAGGTTATGCCTGGGCCATCATGGCACAGGGGGTGTAGCAGCAAAACATTTTGCTTCTGGAGCTTTTTTTAACTCTGCAGTTACTATTCCACAGTTTCACAAGAGTTAGGGGGAAAAAAAATCAATTCCTGAACTCATCCAACAAAGCAAGGTGTCTGTGACAGTGAACAGAAAACGTTGCTGCTTCTTGTAAGGTCTGACCCTGGTAACTCAATAGTCACTGAACCTTTCAATTGCAATTCAAATTGTCCTTCAGGAAATGGTCCTTACTGGTCACACCACACAATGGACCAACCAACAGTACGAGACCTGCACCCACAGCTGGGTGTTTTTAATTGTTTTAAATGTTCATTTCAAATACGTCCTCAGATCCCTTTTTCCATCTGCCTTGGAAGGTGGTGGGAAGTGGCACAAAGCTACAGAGCTGGGGTTTTTGGGGAAGTCTCAGGGTGCTGCCTGCTCATGATGAAGATTCCCAACACCACTGCAGTTCATTTCCTCACATCTTCTGTTAAGTTACCTTGACTTGATAGGAGATCCACATCTGGAGCAGCATGAGAGTTTGCCTCTCCCAGCTCAGACTTCATGGCAACCCCAGCTGTGTCAGCTCCAAGTGCTCAGATCAGGGACACAATGACTCTTTCTTCCTCCTTTTTAAATCGCTCCAACACACCCACACCTTGCAGGAACACCCACTTGGAACAGGAAAAATCAGGGATCAGCAGTGAGTGCTTCCCCCACCCCACCATGCTCTTCTTACCAGTAACCTCACCATGATCATTCCCAACTTCTAACCACCACAGCAGTGCCCGAGGAATTCCTCCCTCAGAACCATGTCAGTTTAGGGTTCACTTTGCCCACTTGACAATAAGAAGTCAGGTGACTCTTCCTCAAGCATTTCTCTCATCATCTTTGGCTGGAAAGCCTGTGGGATGCAACTAATGCTTTTAATTATGTCTATACTGTATTTTGCAAACACACACTGGAGTTAAGAGGCACCAAGTGGACAAGTAGCTTCACTTTGACGTAAGTCTTCATTCTGGAGCCTGAACACCTGACACTGCTCAGTGCTTTGCAAGACCTTTCCCTGCACCAGATGCACTTCAGAATACTTTGAAAGACACCATCACCTCATCTACAACACTTCCAAATTTTATTTGCCATTACAAAGAATGTAAGAATGTTAATTTGCATGTAAAGTGACAACCTTTTCTCATCAACAAGGTCACAAATTAGCGTGCAACTATTCTGCCTCGGGGCCATTTTCATAGGATGGAACATGTTCCTGCATGACAATTTGTCCCATTTTCCTGCATTTTCAGAGTTTCAGTAGATAGGAACAGACTTACTTCTGCTCCTACTTGGAGAACACTCATGGATTTCTGAAGTGTAGAAATAGAAATCCAACTTAAAATTAATCATTTCCTTTTGTTTTATTGAGAGGAAATGAAGGAAGAATCCATTCATGGCTTTTTTTGAAGTTGTGTCACACACCAACAGCCCTGATCCTCTCCCTCTCTCTATTTATTCCCTGTTCAGACTTGTGTGGAGTGGTTTTCTTTTTAACAGGGGTAGGGACAGAATCCCTGTCTTGTCTGCAGCCCTGCAAGAGACTGAGGTAAAAACCAAACAACAACTCAGAGATGCACACTGTTACAAATGCAAACAGCCATCAAATTGTCCAGTTTATTGGTGGGAATTCAAAATGGATACAAAACATGCCCTCTCTGCATGTTGTGTTTTACCCTTAAAACGTTTCCAACAGTGTCAAATAGATTCAGAGTTCAGAACACGCCTTGGCTTTCAGAACTTTACCTTTCATAAAGGTGTGATACAAAAGCCACCAACTTCAGCAACACGTGGTCTCAAAACTGCTTTCAGACATTTTGTTTTATCAAAAGATTCAGATCTCCTGCTGATCTGATGAAATTAAAGGCTTAAAAACGTTTTAAGCCGTCAATAAGTATCCTCCAGCAGAGTCAAGAAAGTTTAGGATTTCCATCATCATCTCAGGCAGAAAAAGGCAACAGCCCTAAAAAAGCAGCCCTCCAGGATATATGGAATGTGGCAAAAATGGGTGGGATGCCAGTTGGTAATGATGGAGTTGATGAAAAGAGATTTTTAAAGCTATGAAGGATGTGAGCAGTATCACAGCAAAATACTGAATGGATGCCACAGAACCAATCAAGTTTGAAAGTTGAGCAGATGTTTCCATGACAAGACTCTGATAATGTCAAATATACCAAAAAACCACCAAAACCCTTTCCTAAAATAAATTCCTAATGCAGAAAAAGTGATTTCAAGTTTGCTCCTAGCTAATAGTACCTTTTTAAAAAAATTTCAATCTGACCCCTAAACTGACCAGACAATACACAGCCCACACTGTTAGACATTTATATTAAAAAAAGCTTTTATTTTCAATTGAAACAAATGCACCAATCCTGCACTGGAAGGCTATAAATGAGCCAGAAGCATTTTCCAAGGTGTATCAATGGCAACAGATTTGTTTCACCTCCACTGAGAAGATACATAATGCACTCTTAATTGGTAAAGAAAAATTAAATTCAGCCTTCTCAAAGCTTCTGTACTGTGTTCTTTTGTTATTGTACAGTTCCACAGTCAGACCAAGAAGTTTGCAGTGTGTGCAGATATTGTAGTCAATCAATAGTATTGTTTAATCATCATCTTCCTCTTCTTCCTCTTCCTCCTCAAAACTGTCTTCAAAGCCCTCACTGTCCTCCTGGTCCTCATCACCTTCTATTGCTGTGTCCCATTGTGGGTGATTTTCTGGCACTGGTTTTGCTTCGTGAACTTCCAGCTGGAATTAGATAAAGAAAGAAAGAGAGGGGGGGGAAAAAGAGTTATGGGCAATACACACCAATCTGAACTTCCAGCTGGAATTAGATAAAGAAAGAGAGGGAGGGGAAAAAGTTATGGGCAACACACACCAATTTAGGAAAACAAAAGGACCCCCAAAACAAATGACACATCACACCAAATTGACAGCTTTAAAAAAAAAACAACAAAAAAACAGCAACATTTATAACAATAAAAATCCCCAAACAAACCCAACAACTGCTTCCAGATAAAAGGAATGCCAGGTTTTTTCCCATTAACTGGATGTATCTAGGGCTAAGGGCAGGGAGATGGGATGGCAGCCCTCAAGGTAGAAAGCCAGAGCCAACCCTACTGCAGAAACTAAATACAGGTGAGAAAACGTATTAAAATATACAGAGGCCCTGGAAAGCCTCACAAACTTCAGTCCCATTTAATCCATCATTAAATTGCCACCACTGGCATCAGGCAACAACCACTTCCCAGTCCCTCCTTGCCACTGGTTTAAAATCAGGGCAGCTTGAATTCTGAGAGATGACAGGATTTCTGGGGTTTCCCAGCTGTATGAAGCAGCTTTCAACATCATACAAACACAGGACACAATGACACTTTACCTTCAGAGGTTTAATCTGGTCCAATCCCATATATGAATCTGATCTTAAATAAACTGTGTACTGATAGTTTCCAGGCTTGCCTGGTGCTGGGAACTTCAGCTCTACCTGCAAAACAGAATTCACACCCTTAAGTTGTTAACTGCTTCCAACTAGAACAAGTACCTGACTTCTCTTCTGAGATATAAATACTTCCATAAAACAGGTTTTTTTCCTTAAAATTCTTTCATTTCTTACAAGTGACACTTAAAATCTCTACCTAGTAAAATACTCACAGAAAAAAAGAATAGCCAAGCACAACACCTTCCATGAAAGGTCAATAATCATTGAGCCTCATCATTATTTATTCTGAATTAGACCAAGTAACTGTACATTAAGTAGACAACTTCACCATGTTGCATGCTTCCTAAATCTCCAAAACCCAAGCAGGTTAAAGCACTTATTATGCTAAGCTATTAGCTTCACCCTGCTGTTATTTGAAATTCAAAATAAGATGCAGTTTGAAAGGACAAAATAGGTCAAATCTCCATTTTTCAGAAAAGCAAAGAACACAGGCAAAGGTCACAGTCTCAGAAAGGTTCATATGAGCTGAAGCCAATTAATTTGTCACAGTCTCTGCTTTACAGAAAAAAACACTTAGTATTTCTCACACAGTTGCATAACTTTAAGAATGACCATTGTGTATGAACATTGGTTTTCATCAGCTTTTGATATCAAGGATAAAAAAAAAACAACAAACAACCCAACATTCTGCAAAGAAACTTGAAAGTCATTTTTAATTATCTCTTCTTTCTCCATGATCCATTTCCACAGTTAAAAGGCTCTTCCCTACTTTGATCAGGAGAGCAAACTTTGCTTCCCATCTCGAGTATGAAAAAATTCAAATCTAGATGTATTCAAATCTAGTCTGGCAACATCCCACTCCCCAAATAATTAATTATTCCAGTACTTTACCTCTTCTTTATCTTTTAGGGTACAAACATGGTAGGGCATACATATTAGCATCTGCTCCTTTCGGTCTGCAATGTAGAGCCACCACCACTCTTGTTTTTCCTTTCATAAAAGAAGAAAACAAAGCAAACAGGATTGTTGAAGTAATATAAGATCATGCTCCTACTGCTTTTATAACAGGTAATTATGATTCACTGGTCCTTACCATCCAGATAAGAAAGGAGGTGGTTTGGGGTTGAGTTTTTGTAAACTCTTGGATGTGTGTGAATAAAATCTACAGTAGGTCAAGGGAGGTTCTCCTGCCCCTCTATTCTGCCTTGGTGCATCTGGAATATTGTGTCCAGTTCTGTGTCCCTCGGTTCCAGAAGGACAGGGAACTGCCTGAGAGAGCCCAGGGCAGAGCCACAGAGATGCTGGAGGGAGTGGAACATCTCCCTGCTGAGGAAAGGCTGAGGGAGCTGGGTCTGTTGGGCTTGGAGGAGACTGAGGGGCCACCTCATCCATGGGCACAAATCTGTTCAGGGCAGTGTCAGGAGGACAGAGCCAGGCTTTGTGCAGTGATGTCCAGTGACAGGACAAGGGGCACTGGGTGCAAACTGGAGCACAGGAGGTTCCATGTGAATCTCAGGAAGAAGTTCTTTCCTGTGAGGGTGACAGAGCCCTGGGCCAGGCTGCCCAGAGAGGCTGTGGGGTCTCCTTGGCTGGAGACATTCAAACCCCCCTGGACATGTTCCTGTGTGATGTGCTCTGGGTGCCCCTGCTCTGGCAGGGGGGCTGGGCTGGGGGAGCTTTCCAGGTCCCTTCCAACCCCTAGGATTCTGTGATTCTGTGATATAGTGCAGAGAATCACAGGCTGGTTTGGGTTGGAAGGGACCTTCAAGATCACCCTGCCCCAAACCCCTGCATGGGCAGGGACACCTCTCACCAGCCCAGGTTGCTCCAAGCCCCATCCAACCTGCCCTTCAACACTGCCAGGGATGGGGCTTCTATACATACGCTGCACACAGAAAGCAAACAGGTTAACACCAGTAACTGTTGGTCTCCAAAGGCTTAATTCTGTATATTCACCCTAAGCTGCCATGTGAGACATGAAACCATCCTGAAGAATTCTGTCCACCAAGGATTCATGGGCAACTTCATGCAACGTAACACTACCTTAGGTCCTCCAACAGCAACCCAGCCTGGATAAAAAGGTCAGCACACAAAGCAAGGCATGCCAAGAGACAGCTAAAGTACTCTTCCTAGTAAACCATCTTTTTCAGGAAAGTATGTTTTGCCCCACTTCTTCTCTCTCCTGAAAGCTGGACACACTGAGGCTTCACTTGGAGGAAGTATGAAGCACAGGTGAGACTGGTATTTGTAAAGGACACCCAACAACTGCTGCCTATCACCTACAGGTGTCAAAGGTTTTGCTGCTGCAGACACTGAAGGAGAGTTTCCAAACCAAACAAGTGGAGTTCATAAGAGACTGCAGCACTGGACAAAAATCATACTGATCCCTCAACTGGAGTTAGGTTTCTAACACCCTGGTGCAGTTCAGCAGCAGAGACACAACCATTCTCAACTGGGTCAGACTGTAGCTCCTCAACATCTACTGCTCTTCATTTTAACCACTATCCATTTTCTGTCATCCCTCTGGCACACATTTTAAGCAGAATTCACTTTGCTTTAATAGAAGCTGAAATCTTCCTGTTGCAGTTTGAAAAAAATACTTAAGCTAAATTGACTCCTTTTCTCTTTTGAAGTGACTAATTGTTATACTAGTAGTAGTTACCACCATCTCACAGAAACATCCACCTAGCAAACTAGAAATTTACAATGGCAAGACACTCACACCAGTAACCAAAACACCCTGATTAGCCCTGTTGACTCCCAGAGCAGTGTAAAATTGACTCAGTGTGTTAATGCCCATTTTAGAGTATATAAAAGTAATAGCACCTGCATCCCTTCATGCATCTGGAACAGGCACCAAGAACAGGATAAAAACCTATTCACATACTATTTAAGATCAGAATGTGAAGAATGATGGGAAGGCCTTTTGACAACTATTATACATTATTTTCTTTATGAAAAACTGTCCCATGTGACTACAAGGCATAAGTTATTTTATCTGTAAGTTTCCACAGTAAATATACTGTCAATCTGCTAGACAGCTGCTGCATAGGAGAATCTTCTGCAGTCAATGTGCTTATTTCCTGGCCAAGGGACCTCTAGGAATAGAAGGATAAACAGTATCAATAGTAGAGATGAACAAGAACTATAGAAACCAGATCCAGTACAGAAATGGCTACTTGCCATCCTGGGCCTACAAGGACTCTGACCATAGAAAAATATCTGCATTTCCATGAATATAATATTTTTGATGTTACTAAAACACTGTCCAGACTTACTACATACATTGTGCATGTTTCCAATGCTCTCAGTGGCAAAGTGTAGTATTTTTTTTAGAACAAAGACCAAAACTGGTAAAAATAACAGTCACTGGGCAAAAGAAAATACCAGAACCTTCATTTTATAGAGTAAATTTTGGGGAAGTAAAGCTCCTGACCCCAAAGTACCACTTTTTTATAGAGAGGACAACTGTGCAGGGGTGTCATTTTCCTCTCTCCTATTGGGTGGAATTTGAAGTTTATGCCTGTGAGAATCTGGCAAGCTAAGAGGCAAGTGGGCAAAATGCCCTGTAACAGATGGGTGCAAGGTTTGGTGTGCCAGGAAACCAGTATGCTCATGAAATTGGAACACCAGGACCAGTTTCTACCTAAAAATGTCAAAACTACAATCTGTGCAGTTTCTGGATCCACTGATGCAGGAGCAGAAGATAATTATTTAGGAACCTGCATAGATTAAAGATGCATCTCTGGCAAGAGTAATCAACTGGCCCAAATCAGATGAAACAGTGTTAAGGCTTCCTCCTGAGAACAAGTGTATCAGGCTTGGCTACACTTTTAACATCTGTAAATTCTGGAAATAGTGACATTGACACAACTGCAGGGTTTGATTCTTAACTGCACCTCTGAACTGGCCATAATACTCTAAACCACAGCTGAAAAACACCACTCAGGGAGAATGATGGGCTTTGCTCTTCAGAAGGTGCAAATCATCCCTATCTGAACATGCTCCAAATGCAGCTACAGCACCAAGGGCAGCTGCATTTAACTTCTAGGAGACCAGCAAAGTGTGGTTGGAACATTTACAACTGCAGCACCACAAAATGGCACATGTTCATCTTTCAGGCTCCAGCATCCAGTTCAGTCCTAGATTTTAAATCCTTTTTTAGCATAGCACTGACTTTAGGTGTTATCATAAAACCCCTCAGCAGGTTGGTTACACACAGCTGAAGCAGCTTTGGACAGAGTATGAGTGAAGTCTCTGAAGGAACCCTCAGTGCAGTGAGAAAGGAACAGGAATAGTTAGCACCCCTGGGGCACAACACAGACTCAATGTCTGAGCTAAAGCCAGTTGCCTTCTCAGCAAAGGAGGCATTAAGGCCCTGCTGCCTGTTTGACATGATCTAAGGCAGCCCTAAGAGCAGAATGCCAGTACCCCCTTATCTGTGATGCTGGTGGGCTGCTGGCAGCTGTACTGAGAGATTGGAGGGCACCTAACAGTGCCAGGAAAATACTGCACTAGGATCAGTCATTAAAAAACATCACAAGGCCACATAACTCTCAGCTGAGGCCTTCAGGAAAACAAGGTCTTTGGCTTCTTAGTGTATCTTGTCTGGCTCTTTAGCAACAAGTCTTGCTTCCCACACTTTGCTTTCTCATGATAGCAGGACTAGGCAAAAACAGCAGGAACAGTATGGGGACAACAGAGGGTGTTCTGCAGATGCAACAAGATGTACAGAGTATAGACAAAGAACCCTGGGGACTGAAAAGAGGGTGCAAATGTACACAATGTCTTCCTTTTTTCTCATACTTTCAACACCCAAGGCTGCTGTAGAGACACCTCAGTCTATCTACTATACAGAGTCACCACTCTCACATACATCCCTTTTTCTGACACCCACCCACACCTGATCTTGTATTTTTGAGCTCTGTAGGAAAGACTATTCCACAAGTGGCTTCTGCCACTTCCAGACTCCACTGTGGTAGAAGCCAGCTTTGCCAACCCTCTCTTTCTTCCCCAGCTGCAGGCTGTGTTGCCACCATGCTGCTGCTTAGAGACTCAACTGTCAAGCAGCAAACCTAAACCACTCTGCTGATCCAAGGACCCTCAAACTCTTTTGTCATTGCTGCTAACTGAGGAAGGGTGAGGATCTGCCCCAATCACAGACAGATGAAGAGCAAGTAATAATACTTTGTGCCCAGCTTGACACCAGAGCCACTGCTGTGCTTTCAGGTTCCATAGCAAATAAAAAGAGAATAAAAGATCTATAAATTACATGCCTACATATATGAAAAGCTTAATTATGAATCTATCTATATGTAGCAGATCATCAGAAAAAAACCCCAAAACTTTATTTCCATCAAAAAGGAACCTTAAAGTCTATAAAGTTTGCAAGTCTTTGGGAATGAGATAGAAAGAAGAATACATGACAAGTATTTTTACTTTTTAGGCAAGTATCTGAAGGAGTGTAAGGGGATTTCAAGTATTAGGCTGTTAAAAGCCTAGTATTTACAATAAAAAGATGAGAAGAACAATTTTACTTTGTGTTATTTTACTTCTCATGTTTCACAGCTGCAATGTTTGCTCTTACTGACCTCAGGAAAAAAAAGGCTGTAAACGGGATGCGTTATCTTTGACTTGGTTTCAAGAAGGGCTCGTTCCTTTCTCTGTATACTTTGCTGTAATTCTTGCCACTCCTGTCAAAGATAAGTTCAAAGAGTTACTGTGCACTGGCCATCTTTTGCATTAAAAAAACAACTAGACACTTTAGCCCATGGCAATGATACAGACACCAAGTTATCGTGCTACACTACACATTATAAAAGGCACTTAGGGACAGTAGGATTAAAAGCAAAACAATCAAACAGTAAAACTAAAGAGATCATTCATGAAAATATTTTTTTAAAAAACCCAAAATACACATCTGCAAGGCTTGCAAACATGACTCAAAACTCAATCCTGAAGCACTGCCTATAAACGCCCACTACCTGAGCTGTACAAGTCCTGACAATAAGCTTGAGGATTCTTTTCCCATCAGTTTATTCTCACACTTATATGGGACTTCAGGTGGTACACTCAGGTCTTTGTGGTGCAGAAATCATCTACCATCACAATGCCTCCTTCTCAATTGCAATTCTGAACAATTAACTTAGTAACTAACAGTTACTAGAGTTTAGTGAGCACATGTACAAGTTTGTTCAACTTGCACACGGGACACAATATGCAGTATGGAATAGCCACTGCATGGGAAGAACCATGTCCAGAGGACTTTCTCTCACATAAACTGCAGCAGCTAGTAATCCAATGAAGCTGGAAGAAATATTACAATCTTTCCCTTAAGTTAAGCTATTTATCTCATTTAATTTTTAGGTTTCCTGTCTATGCTGCAAAGACCCTTCCCTGCTCTCTCAGACTTGCAATGACAAAGCTCTTCTGCCAGAATGAGGTCTCAAAACCTCTGAAGAACTGATATTACTCCTTCATCCCACTGTTGCCCAGCCTGAGGGGATGCTAGAGGATTAAAATGCATTTTCTCTCAACCCCAGAGGCAACATTACCCTTCAAGAAAAAGTAAAGCTTACAGCTTCATCATCTTTGTTTTGCTTCTCATCTTGTTCTCTGTCAGAATCTCTGTCGCTTCCATCATCTTTTTCACTTTGAGAGTCTCTGTTTGTTTCTTCTTCTTCAGATTCACTACCTTTATCAGAGATCTCCTCTTCTTCTTCCTTTGCAACTACTTCCTAATGGGAAAGAAAAATCAACAACAACCAAAAACCTCTGACTGAGTTTGTCTGCATTGTTGGAACACACAGCATTCACAGCACCCATCTTCAAGTCATAGCCCTTATTTCCTATTTTGATCTACACACTTGTGTCCCAGAGTATGTCTATAGTGAAGCTTAATCCTTTTTACCTCATGTGCTAAGAGAAGCAGGGAAGCAATTTTCTCCTTCTCCATATGGCATTTGCAACACCAAGAAGGAGAAAACAGTATTTGATCCTAGGGCTGCATTTCAAAGAGACATAAGAAAATCAAGAGAGAATATAAGAAAGTCCCAACAACACAGCCCCTGAGGGGGTGAAAACACTATGTAATGGGAGCATCAAGATACTAAAGCTACTTAATTTAACAGAAGAAAGTCAGATTTTAGCTTTTTCCTTTAAAGGAAAAGTAGAAGGTACAGAACAATCCACCCCCCATAAGGCAGCATAACAGGAACTCCCAAGAAGGGGCAACAAGGACAGGCTTCCAAAGCAGGAACTTTAAGCAGCCCACTGGAAACACCACTGTGGTGATTCCCTGATTATTTTACCAGCCATTTTCAAATGTAAAGGAAGAAACTGCTATTTTAGGAGATGTCCTTTACAAAAGCACAGAACAAAAATATAACAGACAAGATCCAAAACCCCCCATCGGATTCAGAGTGATCAACCAAACACTAAAATATCAATGAATCTGTGACCTACCCCATTAGCCTGTCTCTGCTTCTGTTGCTTTGGTGGCTGCAAGGAAGGTGGCACAGGTTTCTTTTTCAATGGCTGCTTCTTCTTCTTTGATTTTGAAGCTTTCTTAGTTCCTTTATTCTTTTGCTGCCATCCTTTGCTCTTCACTTTGCTGGCATCTCCTTGCTGTAGGAAAGCAGGATTTAAAATATTTATTCTGTTCATTATATTGCAGGAATTCACTGCTCTTGAAGCATTTTAAGCTGAGAAGTAAAGTTAGAAAGAAGGGCTCAAGACACATTTCAATAGGCTTTTCTAAAGAAAAAATAAAATAAACAGGCTTGAGAAGCACACAATTAGCAACTCAAGATCTGAAAAAAAATTCTCTTCAGCTAACAAAAGGAACATTCCTTCTTCACTCACCCCATCTTCTGTTGGCTGCTCTTCTGCTGCACATATAGACTGTTCCTTTTCAAACACTTCCTAGTTAGGGAAA